CCTCTTTGTAGATATGGGGCTCCTCCCTCTTTGTAGATCTGGGGCTCCTCCCTCTATGCTGATCTGGGGCTTTCTGAAGTTGCTGGGATCATGTAAAACACCCGGATCCCAAAACACCGGCAGCAGCAGCAGTGATTACAAAGATATCTGACTTTATTTGTAAATACATTATAACAATATGATAGTTACATTGTATAGAGATTTATGTGCAGAACGGTTTCCTCTGATATTGTGGAAACAAAGATTATACGGATTATTCTATTGGCTGTGTGTAGAGGAAGCTCTGAGATACGGAGGAATTCTGAATGACGTTTTACTTGCTTAGAAGAATATTACATTGTACAGGAAACATATAGATAGGAAAACTTCCCGAGTATCATAGACAAGCGCACACATAGAAAACCGACATTGCACTACAGCGCCACCTACAGCTCAAAGGACACATTGCCGCCAGTAATACAATCAGTACATGTCAGTGTATGTTGTTATATTTCCAGCACCCCTTCTCAGCAGCCAATGCATTACTACATGACGTTTAGCTTCTCTGGAAGGAAACTGACGATCCCTTAGGCAATGGCTCGCTGAGTGCGTCCGCCGCCATGTCTTCTGAGGAGCGATAATAACTTCCTCCTCACTGTCCGGGTTTTATTCTCTTGGAGTGATTTTATTTCTTCTTCTGTTCCCTGTCTCCATTGATTGGCTTCATGTTTTGGTAATCTCCCTGTGTCTCCCCCGATGTTGGTTGGAGTATGTCATGTGTCTGAGCAGTGTATGAAAGCTTGCAGGGTGGTGTTCCCTTTGTTCCCCGAGTGGATCTTCTCATTTCAGGTTGTTCAGCAGAATTTAACATGGAACTTGACTTCTCCATTGTGAGCTCCGCCTCTTGTCCTGACTCCTGTGCTGCTTCACTTCTCATCTCCCCGGGATCATTGTTCCAGGTGACGGGTTCTCATCTCCCCGGGATCATTGTTCCTGGTGACGGGTTCTCATCTCCCGGGATCATTGTCCCTGGTGACGGGTTCTCATCTCCCGGGATCATTGTTCCTGGTGACGGGTTCTCATCTCCC